TTTTGTGCAAAATTTTTCTGCACATGCATTTGAATATAAATTTCTGAGATTTTAAATCTGTTATTTTACCTTAATTTTAATTAAAAAATATTTTAAAACCTGCTGATTACCTATAGTTTAATTAAATTTCAATGTAATGCATGGCAACTGTACGTAGTTTTGAAGTTTATATATTTTTTTGGCAAACTTTAGTTTTTGACATTTTTGACGGTTTAAACCAGTATTATACCCTTGTCATGTCAAAAACCACTTTTTGACGTCAAAAACCCAACCCTGTATCTTTATAATTTGAAAAAAATGAATAAAAAAAATAATATGCATAGTTGGAGTTGGTAATAAATTGTCAATCACGAAAAATATTTTATCTCAATTTAAACAAAAATCACAAAGAATAATATATCCTACATATTCTCTATGAGCTGCTATGGCTCATTAGTTAAGGCACTGAACTGTCATTGTGATGAATTAGGGTTCTATCCCCAGTAACAGTTTAAAGCCCACTAAACTTCAGGTCAATGGCTACCAGCTTGTGTTGGAAGTAAATGCTGCTTGTGCAAAATACTGACGACATTACAACAGTTCTGCATGTCGCAAGGTTGTGAATTGTAGAGTTTTAGTAACATCTTAATAACCCCCACCCCCTGCTGGTCTACAATTGGCTCTTGCAGGAATGCCTTTTTATATATTCTCTATAATGTTTTGTTTCTCAGCCAGCTGTAAGAGAAGCACATGCAGTTTTGTGTTGGAAGTATTACTAATGGTCTTGCCACAACATCTACCAAATTACAATATTTAATTATATCCATCTTCAAAAACCGTCTCATACATTTCGTTCAATTTTAGAAGAAAGAGAAATTTATCTTTGTGTGAAAAGTTTTATAGAATTGTTGCCATATTCTGTTACAAACTTTTTCTCTTTCTTTGCATTTGATTGTCAGGTGAGATAAAAACAAAAGTGGGGTTGAATTATCGAAAACTAGACTTAACAATGAAGCTTATTAACAGTTTTTTATTATAAGCAAATGCATACCAGTTTAACTTGAGATATAAACTGATTTCTGATGATTTAATCCCTACTTAGCTCTTCGTAACCTTAATAATGAGTGGCAATATGTTTTGGAAACATATTTTCTCATTTTAATGCAATCATTTCTCATTTTATTTCCTGGTGCACATGGGAACTCTTTGGTAAATTTAGAAATATTGGAATTACATTGTGAAAGTAGCAGACATATTTATTTTTGAATAAAATTTAAAAATTTGTGGACAAAGTTCACTTATGAAGTAATTATCTCTCTCAGCTCTACATCAGCTTTTGTGGACCCTGTAAAAACGCTTTCCTCATTGGATCTACCTTTCTCTTTTTCTCCTTTTCTATTAGCAGGGCCCGCACTAAGAACTTCCAATTAGCCAAATATCATAAGTATTGACCAAATTTCGAAAATATTAAAGGCAAAACTTAACAATTTTTTTTAATTAATTTTTTCCCCATTGATAACTTCAAATCAGAATACAAATTTACTATAAATTAAACTATTTTATAAAATGCAAATTCAAATCAAGAGTCATTTTGTTGTTGGGGAGGAATAAATGAGCAATGACTGGGTGGTAGGATGAAAAATGTACATGTTTTATCGTCTTTGAGAAAATAAATTAGAATCTAATTTTTTTAATCTTCTTAGACTAGAACAGTAATATAAGGATAAACCTAAAGCAACATTTGCTGTTTTTTTTTAATTGACTTTCGTTTAACTATATTTCATTTTAAATAAAATGTTTCACTAAAGTTTTATTTTTTAACAAAAGAATTTTTACTGTCATGTTGTAATTTTTCATAAAAAATAGTCGCTGTTGAAGATAAATTATTTGAATAATTTAAATCTGATTTAAGAGTTTTTGTACTACTCACGGAGATTTATTTTATTGAAATTTGGGCTAAGGTTGAAAACATTAATTGGCAGTCAAGTGCAGGTGGTTATATTATATCTATCATTAAAAAGTGATTACCTATATAGATAAAATCAAATTTCTTATTTTAGCAACCATTTTAGTTTTTAAATTTTAGAATAAGTTTATTTTCATGAACAATATGCTATTGTCACGAAAAAAATTTTTCTGCAGGAGTAGTAGGATGGTAATATGCATCTAGCTACCACGTAATCTGCTTTATTGACACGAACCATAGGAAAGAGTTGCCATGTGATATTGCGTAATTCGGTAACGAACAGCCGCGAATCTGTATTTTTAATGCTTACACAATATCTCTTGTTGCTTAGATTATTTGAACTCAATATAATTCTTACTAGTTATGCCATGTATCTAATGGAAATTACTTTAATCGAACAAAAAATACAAAATTTGTTGAGAAAAATTCATAGTGATGTAATTTCAGGATCTAGGGGAATCTATATTTTTCTTGTTGGTAGAAAAAATTGTTCTCAAATATTTTTGTCAAAATGCAATTTATTTCGATGAATTTATGATTTTATCACATACAGCAATGTGGCAAATTCTTACCGCATGCCCTGATTGAAAAAATATAACATTGCAAGATAAACAATCAACATCTGATCTGTTTTTACTATCTTAATGGGAAGCATTAGGATTTAAGTTTGTTTTTTTAAAATTATTTTGTTATATTGGTCCTTCAAACACTTCCTTTTGATTTTTGATTATTTCATTTTGAAGTTTACCTTTTTGTTTCTTGAGTAACTGCAAAACAATTTTCTCTTTAGAGATGAAATTTTTTTTAAATGTTCCATTTCCTTTTCTTTATCTGATATTCTAAATTGGCTTTATATAGTGTGGTAGTACCCGGTCATACTACAACTTGCTGAACCCAGTCTTACCCCGAGAGCGAAGGTTATTGAAACAAAGCAGAACAATGATATTACTGGTCTTAATCTTTTTGTAGAGTCATGTTAGTCATGACTCTTGTACCTCTCAATTTACGAAGCAGATACCTTTTGACCAAATATTTTGCTAAACTCATCAGTTATGTTGACCACTAGCACGGAACCTCTAGTTATGTGCGCAACTGGAAAAACAATCGTCGCCTTAAGAGAGAGCCCGCTTAGTCGCGCTGAAAGCGAGGGTTGGCTACACAATAAAGTAGAATATGTCTCTTTGGCAGGTTGCATGGATGTTGCTACGTTGTTCCACGGACGCTTCTTTTTTAGAACTAATTTATGCTCATATACCAACAAGGGCTTACAGCACCCAGAGTATCTCAGACAGCTTGCTCTGGAAGCTAAACTATTAGGAAACTAAATTCCAAATGATGCTTTACAGATCTACACTGACAGTAGAATGAGTGCTGGTGCTGTATCTGGTAGTGGAATATTCATCTTAAGGGACTGGCATCAAGATATGCATCAAAAATCCTGATTTTTGCTCCGCTTTTAGGTCAGAGCTAATAGCTATAAAGGAAGCTGTGAAATTTTGCATTGCGCACAATGTCGATTTAGATGTATGGATTCTGAGTGACAGCCGTAGCTCCACACAGCACCTGTCTGAATGGTGGAGGCATGGTGACAGAACGACACTAAATGTTGTCCAGCTTCTAAATTGCTTGAGTCACAACATTAGGATTTTCTTTCAGTGGGTACCGTCACACGTGAATGTCTACAAGAATGAAATTGCTGATGGCCTCACCCGTGAAGGCAGCCATAGAGATACTACTGGCGATGACCTTCTTACTTTCTCAGAACCTGGACAAGGCAAGATATTGGTTCCTGTTGGAAAAAAGCTCCTGTGCATGTTTGGTATGGAGGAGGCCGACCTGGTCTTGCTCTGATCAGGGCAAGCAATAGGCATGTCCAAACGGCGCTTGCCAGACTTAGAAGCGGACACACTCGATCCCAACGTCACATTGCAATACCAGTGCTAAGGAACCAGTCTGCTCCTGCCCACATCCTATCGTGTATTGGCTGCCAGAAGAGCCACCTGGTCTCCAACCCTGCTGCAATTGTACATGGCTTTGGGAGCTTTTTGGATGAGTTCATAGACTTGATTTAATGCTTCTGTTGGTCCAGTGGGCATAAGCAGCAACAACAATCTTTTTGTTTTGTATGAACACTTAGTAACCATACAATAAACTGAGTAAAAATATTTTTTTCTAACTGCAATGAGCAACAAATAAGGTTATCTTAAAAAAAAAAAATCTAGAGTTTACACATTAAAACAAACTGATCTACAGGAGTTCAACAAAAATATGCCAATTTTACAGCTCCTTCTTCTTACCAAATAAAATATGATTCAGAGTTTGCATGATTGGAAAACCAAAACGAGTTTCGCCAAAATCAAGGTACCTGGTTTTGGCGAAGTTAGGGATTTCAGCCCATTTCTGAAATCCCTAACTTCTCTAAATTAAGCTTTGAAATACAAATTTCGAGAAGTACCGTATTTTTCGGCGCAAGCGCCGCACATCGATAAAATTGAAATTTTTAAAAAAAAAGTTATAGTAAGCGCCGCAATGGCGCTAAACCGGGCATATCAGCATCCTTTTAGAAGAGTCCTTTAAATTACTATTTTGAATATCTGTATAATAAAAAATTAAATTTTTGTATGCATTTCATAAAGTAAAGTTTTAATTTCTAAATTATTGCTGGCAGAGTTTAGTGCGTTGTGGAAAATGCCCAGCAAGCATAATGAAAAAGTCATCNAATTTATTATATGAAAGATTTTAAAATAAAAAGATTTTAAAATTTATTACCGTTAACAATTTGAGGAAAAACTAATACATAATAACGAAACAGCTAATAATAACGAAATAACAAACAAGAATAATAAATAACTAAACAAGCCCCAAAAAAATTCTGAAGGAATGAGAGAAGAGGAAATAAGTTTCACTTTCACAATCTTAGGGGGTGGAATTTTAGTGGGTAGAATGCCCTCTCCTTCAATGGAAATAACCCAATCTGACTCACCTTAGAAAGAGAAGAAAATGTTTAAAAGAGGGGTGTACCCCACCTCCTCCACGTGTCATTTCTACTGGAGCTGTTTAGGAGAAATCAATCAGTTATATTTTAAAAGGGTTGGGGAGAAGAAAAGGGTATGGGACCCCTAATCCAGCATTCCAAAATTTGGCACTTAATCTGATCTAATCTTTTTTTTAAATTTTTTTTTTAAAGAAATTTATATTGATAAGACAAAAAAAATCAGCTATATTCTTTTTATTTGGAATTTTATTCTGTTGAAGTAACTTACTTTATTTTATCTTTTAAAAATAAAAAAGAAGCTTGAAAAAAAAATCTGTGTCAAAGGAAACATCTGTTTCTTATCAGTTTAAAATAAATTGAGAAGTAAAAACATCTGCATTTCCAATGAACAAAATAAAGAAATGCAAGTTGGAAAAAACTGATCAATCCTGACAGCTGGGCTTGTGCTTTACTGATTTGCCCCCAAATTTCCCTCCTCTGTTTGACCATAAATTGGCTACACCCAGTTGACATTGAAACTACCATGTAGACAACAAAATGAATTCTATCCCTTTTGCGGTTTTTTATTCGATTTATAAATTTTTTATTTTGCCGCTTTTTATTAGTTATTAACTGCTAATTTTTTTTTTTTGTTAATAGTTAGCTTGTTTTTTTTTCGTGTTAATAGTTAGCTTGATTTTTTTCGTGTTAATAGTTGTTTGCTTGTTTCTTTTATTTTTAACGTTATTAGTTTTTCGCTTGTTTTTTGTTGTTATTCATTGTTAGTTTCTTAGCATTAATTGTTACATTTTTTTTATTTTTTTTGTAGTTCCTTGTTAGCTTTTTTTTTTCTGCGAGGTAAGCGTCTTTTGTTAAAACAAAATGTTATCTAAAGGAAAAAACGAGAACTATGATCTCGCTCCAAAGAAGAAACTATTATTTCTTCTTTATAGGATTCAAAATATTTCTTCTTGATTATATTATATAGATTATTATTTTGATTAGTAAAATTTCTTAAGATGGGCCAGTTTTAAATTCACCCCATCATAATCTACGATCGAAACTTGACTAAATTTATCGGTTTTTCTGAAATTAACAATGGAATTGAATTATAGTAATATTAGGGGGCCATATTGGAATTTCCGAAAGAGATCCAAAGTTCGGCATTTCGTCAGTCCCGTGAGTGTCGGATTTAGGGTCCTATTATTTCCTTTTCTGTTCGCTCAAATTACAATTGCCGATGTTCTGCAGCAGATCGCGATACGGGCGAATATTTCGTCGACTTCTTTATAAATTTTTTTTAATAGTCTTTCTCTCAGAAAATTATTTAATCTTAAACAACTTTCCTTGAAAAATTTTTTGCTACTAAAAAATATTTCGTCGGAAGCGCCGCATGTAGGAAGAAAACAACTTTTTTTTTCGATAGTGACGCGGCTCTTCCGCCGAAAAATACGGTACCTAATATAAATTTTATTGTTGCATTTGTTTTTATTTATTTTGAAACATATTTCAGGGTTAGAACAGTTGTGCAAATTGGACATAGCTCTAACAATTGCAAATAGCTCCAAAATAAAATGTTTGCTCTATCAATAAACGCTGTGGTTTTACGATAGAATTGTCACATATAGAGGGCTTCAAAAAGTAGTTTCTAATATTCAAAAAACATGCAGAAATAACAATGCATTTAAAATATTGGAATTAGAAAAGAAAGTTGAATCGGCTGATCGTAGCATGGAATCACTTTGAAATCATGCTCATCAGAAAGTGATTTTTGAATAAATCGTTAGTCGTTATTCTAAACCATGTGGATTTACCACGAATTTTGTGAAAATGTGATATCTTAACTACAAAATTTGCGTGTAAACAATATTGTATTATATATGTTGCAATTTGAAAAACTATATTAAAATGCCCAAAATGCTGTAAGTAACTCTTGAAAAAACAATGATCATCAAACAGCATAAATTTTTGATGGAATTGCCATAAATCAAGTGTGTAAAAAAGTGAAAACCGAATTAGAAACTAGCGTGTCATAATGACATTGTATTAAAAATATCGGAATTTAAAAACCACATGGATATCACTGAAAAACGATATATAACTAGAGAAAAATCGATTGAAAACCGTGGATTTGTGAGGAAATCTACAAGAGTTGACAGATTCATTTTCTTTTTAAAATATATTAAAAATGCGTATTAAAATACTATTTTAGCTATTTTTTAGATTTTATTTCTGCAGGAAACCCATTTGAGTAAATTTTTTCAGTTATTATTTAATTAGATAATTCTTTGTGTTTCTGTTACATCCTTTCTATTTACTGAGGCATTTTCTTCTGAGCTCTGTTAAAAATGATATGAAATGCAAATTGATAATTTGGAGCAATAAATGCAAACACTTTATTACACCTAATATAAAAAATCATTAGCTCCAATATCCAACTTTACTTGCTCCAAAACATCTTTTTTCTGCTTCAGAACAGTTATGTTGCTGCTCCATCCATAATATTTATATCTGTATAACATTAATTGCTGAAAAATATCAATTTCATGAATTTTAATCTATTGTTGTTGTTTTTAGGTGATTTAGCATCTTCCAAATCTTCTTCCGAGAAAGACTTGAAGTGTCTTCACCTGAGCAGCGAACTATTGTTGGATGACCTCTGGGTTGCACTAAGTGATTGTTTAAAAGAACTAGCTGAAACTCCTGACCATCATGCCGTATTAGTTTTGCAGCCAGCTGTTGAGGCATTTTTCTTAGTTCATGCTTCATCAGAAAAAGATAATAAGAAGTAAGTATCCTCCAGAAGCTAAGTCAAACAAAAAAGCTTACATTTTAAAAGTTTAAACATATATATTCTAATATTACCCATTAACCCAGTTACAGAAATTTTCAGCATGGTAGATAATGTCACAGATTATTAGTACAGAATATAATAATTATAATATAATAATTACAGAATATATATACAGGGTATCCGCGCACCTGGAAAGTCATGAATTTCAGTATTGAGCAAAATTTGTCATGAAATGTCATGATTTTTGCAATTTTTTTGAAAAAATCATGGATTTAGGTCTCCCAGTGTTGCAAGTGCTGCACCAATTGCGCCGATCCGTGCCAATTGTGAAAACCTGCGCCTACATGCTCCAAATTGAAGTAGTAGGCTTAAATTGCGCCGCTCTGTGCCGAAAGGGATATTTTCTCCTGGGTATCGCCAGGTCACAATTTTGTGGCAACCCAGCTACTGGCATGTGGGGGGTTGCTCTGGATTCAGTGGGAAGGATTCTTGCACTCTCATGTGCAACTCTGCTTCATTTTGCAAGATATTCTCAATTTCATTTTTCACTCTCTGAATTGGAACCGAGACTTCCCACGAGTTTTTGGGGACCAGCTAAACATTGCCCAATTTTAATAGCAAAAGAAAATTTTACTTCTCTTGTTAATTTTATCGTTATTGAAGTGCAATTGTCTTCGTCAATGGCAAGCTAATGGCCTTCTTGCTCTATTCTATTTATAGAATAGTACTCATAATCTTGGAAGTTACTTGGGGACCATTTACTAAGTACATGTTTTCATGTTGATCCTCAGAGCAGTCAAGAATCACAAAGCCTCAAAATTTCCATCTCCCTTTTATTCATTTAATTAATAAAGATAGAATTAATTAAGTTTCTTAAACGTAAATTTTTATCTGAGGGACCATCCACTAATTGCAAATTGTTTGTAAACATTTTTTTATACTTTATTACTTTTCTTTTACTAATATTTTTTTTTACTTATTGCATTTTATTATTGTGTTATTACTTTCAAAATTTTCAGTGCTCTTATTTTGTTTTAGGAAAATACTTAATAATATTTAGAGGCAAGATTTTAAATAAGTATGAAGAGAGGGGCTTTCAATATTTTAAATGCAGCAAAAAATCTGACGTTTTTCAGATTTGTCATTCAAAAATACTTTAATTCATCTCATAAAGATTTGATTTAAAACAATTGATATAAATTTTTTTAATTATTATAGATTTGTTAAATATTATGAGTGTAGGGACAATATAATAATTTACTTCTGACAAAAAATTTTTAGCTTCAATACTCATTATATTTGCATTTTAAAATTATCTAATTTTTTTAATTATTTCATTAATGGAATACTGTACTAGGTAATCAATTTTAATTAAAAAAATTTAGGGGCCATTCACTAAATAACATTAGTAATATAAATTTATTAAAATTTGCTTAATTCTTTACATATTTTTTTAAATTCGGTATGATCAATATTAATCTTGTTAATGTTTTGTTGAATATACTACTATAAATAACATTTATTTAAATTTTAAGAAAAAATATACTCAATAACCTTTAATAGTTAAATTAATTAGAATTTTAAATTACCTTTTACAGAATTAAATAAAGTAATTATTAATTTAAAAAATAGTATGAGCCACTCAATATTGAATTTATTTAAATTGCTTTTGCCAAAAGTTCATTTTTAACAAATATTTCGACTATATTAGATAAATTTTTAGGTCTTTTCCAAACTGAACTACTTGATATTGTATCAAAATTTTGCTATTGTAAAATCACCTAAACTCAATATCAAAAACCATCCATTTGATGCAGCAACCTGAAACTCAATCACATCCATTGGATACTTTTAAATCGTCGGTTTATTTAACCAATTTTTTCTTAAATCAATGCCCAGGAAGAAAATACTAGAAACTTCTAGGTTATAAGCATTTTGGTTACTCAAAAAAAATTTTCTGTGCTATGTGTATTAACTATATTTTTTTTATATGAAAATGAAGTTATTCCTTGTTTGCAATTTTCTATAATCATCATGTCTTGAATTTGCTATCTGGTTTGCAAGACTTATGAAATTTTCAATGGTAGAGTTTTTTTAAATATTAAAAGGTTTTCTCTTACATCATTGTTTGATGTACAATAACTTAGAAATGATTACAATTTAGTTAATAGATATGAAAAATGGTTGCTGTCCTGTGACACTTCGACTTTGTAGGTAATTAATTTCTAAAGATTGAAAGAAAAACAAAGTGTTAAGGTTCTTTTATATATTTTTTAGGAAAGATAATAAAAGAGATACTCAAGAAAGTGAAATTTCTCATTTACAAGATATTCCTCCCATATCACCTTTATCCTCAATGAATTTCCAGGGAGAAAATAATTCAATAACTTCTAATGTTTCTGATTCAGCATCTACAGCTAATATGTCAATGGATACTGTGAAATTCTTAAAGTTTGCTGGTATGCTTTTTTCTATTTCAAAATGTTAAAATTGGTGGCTTATAATTTATAGTACAGTAAAGCTTGACTATCTAGAATGCATGAGAAGTAATCAAATTTTGGATATGTGAATGTTCCAGTTGTTAGAGTGCTAAAAATTTTTATTTTCTGAAAAATAATGTTGCTCCTAAAAAGAAAACAATCACCTATTATAAGGAATTTATTACAATAAGGGAGGAAACTATAATAATCCATAAATTATTAAAGTTGGTTTTAAATTTTAAAAAAAAAAGAACTAAAATTGCAAATTGGGTAAAAAGCACTAGAAAAGAGCATAAAATCTCACCGTCTGTTTTTATTAATCAATGTCGTAATATGTCGTGCTTCACATTACAATATTTACCTGAAAAACTGCTGCACCATGATACAACCAAAAAAAAATAAGTGGTATATCAGTTTCCTGATTGTTAAGCTCTGGATTGTCTAGCTTTTACTATATATTTTTGTAAGAAAATGTAAATATTTGTTTCATTTTTAAGTGCATCTGTGGTCTAAGTTTTTTCAAACTTGATTCTTATCTGTGCATGTAGCATACATTTTTATTATGAATGTTATTACATTTATTGTTTCATTTTTATATGAAATAAGCCTGCTTGGTTATTATATATAATATCTTAGGCATATAATATGATTGAAATTTTATAATTTTTTTGTGGCAAAAACTATATAAAAACTATGTGCAGACAAAAATTTGAAAATAAACCTGCTTACTTTCATTTCACTCTGTCTTCTACCCATTAATAGTGTTCTCTCGTTTAATTAGACATGTGTTGTTCTGGGATCTTGTGTCTATCTAACTTGATTAAATTTAAGTAAAATATTTGTTTTCTTGAGCTAAATTTGCATTGTAAAGCAGAATATTGGATTTTTCAGTTCAAATGCTCAAGCTTCTATCAAAAATAACTAATAAACAAAAGACAAAATCAACTCTATATAGTAAGCAAGACTAAAATGTACTTAACATGTCTTTGAAATCATTGGTTGTCATCAAATGTTATCTAGATTGCATTTTCTTACACTTAAGTTAATGGAAATATATTATTAAAGTGAACTGTAAGTTTATTTAAGTTACTCAAAGATGTAAATTAAACAATGATTTATTTTAAATTATGTATCGGGAGTACAAATTAGTTCGGTCCGTTTTTGTGTGGTCAAGAATGCATTTATTTCAGAACAAAATGAATGAACAGATTAATCAAAGTATTGTCCATCGCTGGCTACTACTTTTTCCTACCTATCAGGCAATTTTCGAATTCCATCTCGAAAAAATGTCTTGTCTTTTGAGACGATCCAAGTTAGGGGCCAATTTTCGATTTCTGCGAAAGAAGTGAACCGATGACCTGCCAAATCGTGCTGCATCTGTCGGAACAGCCAGTAATCAGAAGGAGCAATGTCCGTCGAATACAGCGGCTGCGGTAAAATATCCCACTTGAGTGTTTCCAAAAAAAATTTGCGACATGTGACCGAGCTTTATCATGCAGAAGAATAACTTTGTCATGCCTTTGTTCGTATTCCGACCGTTTTTCTGGTAATGCAAGTATCAAACTAATCACTTGTAGCCTATACCAATCGCCCGTAATGGAATTGACAAGTTGTAGCAGCAGCTCATAGTATACTACACCCTTTTGGTCCAACCAGATACACCGCATGACCTTCGAGTCATGAATATTCGGCTTTGGTGTTGATGTTGAGGTCAATGGCAGCAATTGACCGGGCATAGTGTGGTATTTTTTCTTCTTGGGGTTGTCGTAGAATATCCATTTCTCATCCTTAGTCACAATCCAATGTAAAAAAACCTTTCTTTGTTGCCTTTGAATCAGCTGCTCGCTAGTGAAAAATTGCCTTTCAACGTCGCTCGGTTTCAGTTCATAAGGCACCCAATTGCCTTGCTTGTGATTTCAATCGTACGGAAACGGCTTGTTGCGTAACTCCCAAGGATTCTGCAAGCTCCTTTTGTGTTTTACTCGAATCTTCATCGCGTAATGCCTCCAATTCTTTGTCTTCGAACTTTTTTTGGCTGTCTAGAGCGAAGCTTGTCTTCAACTCTGAAATCATCATTCTTGAAACGTCAAAACCATTCCCTACATGATTCATCAGTTGGAGCATTGTCACCATAAACTTCTACAAGCATTCAATGCGCTTCAGCTGCACTTTTCTTCCAATTAAAGCAAAAACATAAACCCCCCACAAATGCTGCTTAGTTATCACAAAATTTGACACATTCAACCAAGTTAGAAACAGGGTGTTTGTATGAAACTCGAAGCAATATAAACTGAATATTATTGACACATGTCTAGCCTCTCTGAAACCAGCTGTCACTATGAAACATTCATAACAGCCAGAGCCATCTTTTGAAACTAATTTGTACTCCCAATATGTAAATTTAAGGAAAATGGAAATCCTAAACATTTAAAACCGTTGAATTTATCATAGTTTAAATTATCTTTTCATTGTTATGCATTTTACTGTATTCCAACGAAAAATCTTGTTTTCTTGTTTTTGTTATGTATAGTTTTTTTGATAATCAGCATTTTTTATAAGAAAAAACTGAGTAATTAATAACTTAGTTTGAGTTTAGCTTATAGTATAATTTTTTAACTGACCTAATGATTTTTAATATCTTAATGGTTCTATTTATGACCTAGTTCTAGTGTTCCTAAATCATCTTAAGTGCATTTTTTCCCCCTTCAGAAACACACAGGACTGTTCTAAATCAAATTCTTCGACAGTCAACAACTCCTTTAGTTGATGGCCCTTTCTCTGTGTTAGTTGATCATACAAGAGTTCTTGATTTCGATGTGAAACGGCGTTATTTTAGGCAAGAGCTTGAACGAATGGATGAAGGATCACGGAGGGAAGATTTAGCTGTACATGTAAGGAGAGAGCATGTTTTTGAAGATTCATTTAGAGAATTGCATCGTAGGACTCCTGAGGAATGGAAAAACAGATTTTATATTGTTTTTGAAGGTATAATTTATATTCTGAGTCTTCAACTGTTTTTCACATTAGGATCAGTTAAGTGAAAAAAAAATTTTAGGACCAAAAACATTTTTAGATTCTTAGCTGACTTATACCTAAATAATGCTACTTAGACATAACTTATCATATTTGCTTGCTTGTGTTCCCTGTGGCAGAATTGTGATGACACAGTGACATTGTCGCAGAACATTACTGAGTTCTTGCAGAAAGATTTTTCTTTTGGGAAGTAAAAAAAAACTTTGGTTTTCTTTTCTGTAGAAACTTTCGAACGATTTTTTCTTTTCTTCAGTATTATGTTCGAAAGATGCTTTTCTCACTCATTGGAGTGGGAAAAAATACTTGTAATTTTTCTGTTCTCATTTGGGAATAATGAAAAATAAGAGTCATAAAGTAAAAAGTTTAGGCTTTAATTTCTGCAGAATTTTTTTTCTATTTTTTTATGCAATTATTATTATTGATTTCTACATAGCTTTTAGAATCAAATATTTTTAATACTGTTATTTATTACAGCAACTGAATCGCAAATCGGATCTTTTTTCAGTAGTTACTGCTACGGATTTCACGTTTTTTTTTAATGTGATGATGATTTACAGATGACTGAAAGAAATATTCAGTGGTTTTCCCCCCTGCAAAACGCAAGAATATTGACCTATTAGAATTTAAAAAAATATTACATATTCAATTAAAAAAGTTTTTTTCTTTGAAGGTGACGTTTCTGTTACTTTAAATTAGTAACATGTATATTTGTTACTTTTAAAAGTTATCTTGCAGTAAGATATTAGTAGAGAGGTATGTTGCGAAAAGCCCGAAACAATTCTGCCACTGGGCTTGTGTTATGGATATGTATTTGTTCCGTAAAAGAAAATGCTTATTTCAAATTTTTAACTACAATTCTACTTCATGAAAAAATCTTTTTATTTTACACTTTTAATATCTTTGTTCAATTTTGCTTTTATGAATTATTAAAAATTAATAATTGAAACATTAAAAATGAAAGACATTTATGGTCATATTTTGTAAAGAACATTAGTCCTGTTTTGATTTTAATTTGTCAGTTTAATGCACTGAAATAAATAAATAAATATTAAAATCTCTTTTTTTTATGCTTGAACTGTTAGTTAATTAAAATATTATAATTTTTGAAAGCCAGTTTTAGTAGCTCTTTTCAGTGAAAAAACATGTCTATATGTATGCATATAATTTTGCCTAATTTATTATTAAAATAAATGCAGGTGAAGAAGGTCAAGATGCTGGTGGCCTGTTACGAGAATGGTACACAATTATATCACGAGAAATATTTAATCCTATGTATGCTCTTTTCACCACATCCCCTGGAGATCGAGTGACATATATGATAAATTCATCTTCTCACTGCAATTCAAACCATTTGAGTTACTTCAAATTTGTTGGACGTGTTATAGCCAAAGCAGTTTATGACAACAAATTATTGGAATCCTATTTTACTCGATCATTTTATAAGCATATATTGGGAAAGAATGTAAAGTAAGCATTACTTGTATTAATAATTTAACTTAGTTAAATCTATTGTGAATATGCCTTTTTATTACTTTTTATATGAAGTCAAAGTATAGAAACAAATTGAGTATAGAAGTTGACTTCAGAATAAAACTTTTCAACTCAATAGCGAAATTGTGTTTAAAACTTCGGAAAAAATTTAATTATTTTTATTCTATAAATGTTCATCAATATAAATGTGTACAACCAATTGAAAAACCTGATACATTTTTACTTATATTTATAATTTAGTGATTATGAGACCTACCGACGATCTTGCATAGTACCTAAAGACTCTGGTAAGATTCTTAGGGTTGAGGCTGAACCATTGTAATACCTAACTTTAAGAACCCTGTCTTTATATTTTGTGTAAGAAATACCTTACAGTTAGCTTTTAAATTCTATACAGCTTGTAAATCAGTTAAAAGTAACAGTAATGCTAGTAAAAAGTAATTTATAACTTATCTTAACCCCTTCCTTCTCGCTCCCGTGAAAATGACGGGGTGAGATTTCGCCCGCTATTTCTCGCTCCTGTGATATTGATGGGCTGGAGTGTTCAGTAGTAACGTGCCAATAAGAATAAAACTAATTCATTTCTTTTGCCCTGAAAACATTTTATTTATCACTTTACACACCTGATGGCAGTACCAGGATATTTTTAAGGTAATTGTAGACGGTCAGCTTATTTTAAACTAATTGCAGCACTAATCAAATACGTAATACAAATACAAAAGCCAAAAAAATTGGCACTTTCATGACGGTTTTCTTGAAAATTAACCGATCGTTAAGGGGTTAATATTTTATTTTGTAGAAAAAAGAAATTTTTTTAAGTAAAGAAAAAGATGCTAGTTATAGAATTATCTTTTTCTCAAATAAGCACTCTTTGAAATTTTCAATTTTAAACCTGATTTTGAATAAAATAAGACATTTTGGGCAATTTTTAAATATTAAATTATACCATGGTAATAGATAAAGAGCTTTGAAAAATATGAAAGTCAATTATAAAATGTTTGTTATAGAAATTCTGAATATAGTTTTTTTTATATATATTTAAGTATTTAGTCTTCGAAAGACTATAAAAATCTTATATTTTGTTTTTAAAAAATTATATTTATTAATTAGTTCTGTTTGTTCTAGGTACACTGATATGGAGAGTGAAGATTATTCATTTTATCAAGGACTAGTCTTTTTGTTAGAACACGGTGTAAATGAATTAGGCTATGAACTAACATTTAGTGTTGAAGTATGTATGCTATTTTTTCAAATGTTTTCTTTATCAAAGTTATGACACAAACTCAATATCAGTTGCTAGTTACATAACTTTAAAGCTAATGTTACCTAAAAATGTTTTTATTTTTATTTAAATCAAAATGTAAAACAAGAATGTTTTCTGTACCAGTGCAATCTACTGGAAATCAATATTTCTAAAGCTTTGTCATTAGTAATAAAAATTTGTATTCATTAAAATAACTTTCCTTTAGCTCTGTAGCAGTTTTTCAAAGCAAATATGCTTGTAGGTCTTTAAATAAACTTAACATTTGCAATAAATTAGTTAGCCCCATGGCAGAATTGCAGCGACATTGTCCCAGAAAGTTAGAGTTCTTCCAGAAAGATTTGGTTTTCTTTTCTGCGGAAATTTCCAAAAAAATGTTTTTCTTTAAAATTATATTTAAAAGATGCCTTTTTCGCGCATTGGAGGGAAAGAAATGTTTGCAGTTTTTCTATTCTTATTTAAGAAGAATGCAATATAAAGAATAATGAAGTGAAATATTTCCTTTCTGCAGAAATGTTTGAAGGGTTTTTTTTCTCCATAATTATATTCAAAATATGCCTTTTTCGCACATCTGAGGGAAAAGTGATGTTCATGATTTTTCGATTCTTATTTTGGAATAATGAAAAATAAAGAATAATGAAGAAAAAAATCTTGGTTTTCTTTTCTACCGAGCTTTTCAAAAGATTTTTTATTCTCTAGAATTATTATATAGCGACGTATATTATATTACAAAACTTATACTTCATTATTTAAAAGATTCTTTTCATGTGCATCGAAGGGAAAAAATGCTGGAGATATTTTCAACTCTTATTTAAAAATAAATTCTACAATGATTGGTATCAGCTAAAATTTCTATTAGAAAAATATAAGGGAAAAATAAAAAGAAATCACAAAAGGTGAAAAGAGTTCCGTTGCAGAAATTATGTTCTTTCATTCATATATATATATATTCAAGTACACCATATTTCACATTTTAATAAAAATTTTACTGTAAGGGGGGGGGGAGTTTTTTACAAATTCAGATTTGTAGCAAAATAATGTCTTACTTTTTTTTGTTTTGTTGAAATAAAATCAATCCAAAAATTTTTTAAAAAATTACGCACATGAAAATTTCAGCACAGCTTTATTTCCACACAGTTTTTGAAATTCCATATTTTTAATACACTTTTATTTATTTCAACAACCGAATCTTCAAACGAAGCACACATTTAGTTCCCCCATTATGAAGGGTCCAATTTGCGTGATTTCGTCGTCCATCATTTTTTCGATAGTTACTGTTACAGATTGCACGATTTTTAATTATAATAATTTTTTGAGGTGATGATCATTTACAAAATGCGTAAAAGGAAATAATTAGTGTTTTCCTTCAACAAAATATGAGAATATCGCCTATGATATTAGAAATTAAAAAATATTGCTTATTCATTGAAATTAGGTACATATATATTTGTTATTATTAAAAGTATCTTGCAGAAAAATATTAGTGCTGGAGAGGTTTGTTGCAGAAAGCCAAAAAAATTCTACCGCAGGACAAATTAGTAGTTTTAGCATGTAAGATTGCCTGTATCTCCAGCAGTGTTGTTAGCTAGAAATGAGTTGACTTATGTTCTTCTTTTCCCTGTACACTTTTATGTGTTCATTTAACATAGAGTAGTCGCTGCTTTTTAATTATAAACTTTGGAATTTTTAAAAATTCAACATTGGTGAGACAACTAATTATTTTTGTTTTTAGGTTCAAGAATTCGGTGTTACAGAAATACGAGATTTAAAACCTAATGGTAGAAATCTCCCTGTGACTGAAGAAAGTAAGAATGAATATGTTAAATTAGTTTGTCAAGAGAAAATGACTGGTGCAATCAGAAAACAATTAAAAGCCTTTTTAGAAGGTTTCTATGAAATTATTCCAAAAAGACTTATATCAATATTTAATGAACAGGAGTTAGAGCTTTTAATATCAGGGCTGCCAAATATAGATATTGATGACTTAAAAGCTAATAGTGAATATCACAAGTATCAGACAACATCTTTACAAGTAATTATTTTTTTTGTATTTATGATTAAAAGCATGTATCTTTTTTTCTTACTACTATAATTGCTTGTGCTAAAAATTTACTTTACTTTTATAGAATTTTTGTTGATTAAAACAAAAAATCTGGTAATGTTTTATTAACATAAAATGTACGTGTTCTTTTCTGCGATAATTATGTTGATATTTTGTACATGATATCTTGCTTTTATATGTATATCTTTTATATAAGCTTTTTGTTGTATGAATCAATTTTTATAAAAAAACATTTTTTTGTCATTTTGAATATTTTTCTAAGTAATTCCACATTGAAAATGCTGGAAAAAATAATTTTATTTGGAAATAATAAAAAATTTACATTAGAGGGATATATTATGACAGTGGCAGGTTTGGATTTTTTTTCATTTGAGATTAAATTTTTAAGTAATGTTTTAATTGATAAAAAAAATTTGCTGTATTTAAGAGAACAAAGAAAGAACGCTTTCAATATCTAGTTTTACAGTCATTTCATTAAAACTTGTTTTATAGATATATATATTCTTTTTTGAAGACTGAAAACAATAAAAAGTAACAATATTCTACTACTTAATAAGTTGAATGAAAATTAAAAAGTAATAATGAACAAGTTGATAATTATTTAAAATATTAGTTTATTTGAAAATTTTTCAATCCAAACATTTATTAGTCTTTAACATTGTTTCAATAAATTATATGTTTGTTTGAAGATTTAAAAAAAAAAGACTTGCAATAAATTATGTTCATAATCATATTCTGCTATAATTGCAAATCTATATCGATTTTTAATATTGTTAATATAAATATACAATTACATAACAAGTGTGGATTGTCTGGAAAAACTTTTATTCGTAATTTATATTTATTTTTAGTTATTTATATTTTTTTTATTTATAATTATATCTAATTAGTAAACTATATCAAATTAGTATATAACTTTAAAAATGTCATTTTTAAATTGTAAAAAAAAGTACATTATTCAAATATTTTTACTTTAAGTAGCAATGTACACAAGAACAATGTAAGCTGACCCATGTCATGCAAAGCTGTTTCTCACAAAGTTAATTTTTCACAAAGTTAAAGTCACAAAGTTCACAAAGTTAAAGAGCAATTATCTATTATGTTTTATTTAGATGTACTTGCTTTTATAATTACAACAGTATCAGTCCCTGTAGCTATTTTTTGATTATATATGATTTCTTTGTTCAAGTCATTTTCCCTCTAGTGACACATGTGACATTTTGTCAGAAACAATCATTTAATTTTTAAAAAATGTTGAAATTAAATTGCTGAATTGCACAAGTTTGAAACTAGTTTAAAAGGAACTGTCCTAATTTGAATGGTAGCGAGAACAATATTTTAAAACGTTGTTTAAAAAAAAAAAAAACTAGCCCTTGGCATTAAAAACAAGTACTTTTATTTGTGCCAGAACACAAAATAAACATTTCTTACATTATTTCTGACGCTAAAAATTATTTTAAATGTTTGCAGATTCAATGGTTCTGGCGAGCCTTGCGTTCTTTTGATCAAGCAGATAGAGCAAACTTCTTGCAATTTGTGACTGGTACATCTAAAGTTCCTCTTCAAGGCTTTGCTGCTTTAGAAGGAATGAATGGTACACAAAAATTCCAAATTCACAGAGATGACCGCTCAACAGATAGACTTCCTTCTGCACATACATGGTAATGTATATTTTTTTTTTTAATTTAACATGTATTTTAAAAGATCAGTTTGTATATATAAACTGAGTTTATGATATTATTTTCACCAAACTTTTTACCAAAATTTAAAATTTTTAACTTTAATTCTCTCCTTCAAAATGTAACAATGTGAACAAGGTTTTCTTCGTTTCTGTTTGAGCCTTATTTTTAGGTAATTAATGTTTCCTAAGCAGTAAAAATATAAATGGTGAAAATAAATGAAAAAATAATGTTAACAAGTTTTGGTTTTAGTTCCAGCAAATAAAAACTTAGAGACATTTTACATTTGTGTAGTCTGATAATTAGAGTTAGTCTTTTTAGATTTGCAGTTGTTTTTATATAGGAGTTTTTATGAAAATGTAGAGAGATATGTCAGCAAAGTCCAAATCACTATTGTAGTCCCTTGGCTTTAAAAATCGTTAATTTGTTGAAGCATTAATAGTATGTGTATGTTTTAATGTTTGTTACAAAAAATTCTCTGTTACACATCATAGGTCTTAAATTAAAAAAGAAATAACTTTTGTTCTAATGATTAGATTATTACAAACTAAATGCCTATCTTAAGGGTTCAAAAAGTGATCTAAATATAATTTCAATCGTTGAATTAGTTGGAATATCAGCAATTGACTGTATTGTTGGGTTGATCATTTTAGTCTCAATGAGTATTATACTATCATTACACACAGAGTGTGTAACTCTATTATTGAGCACATTTATGTAACTAATTATATCTTTTAAAAACCTATCCAGTCTCACTTTCATTTATATTTTTTTTGTCATCAGTGCAATTTGAGTAGATAACTAATTTTTAAAAAGTTTTAGCAATTAATTTCTATTCTCTTAACATCTTAAAACATTTATTACATATTTCAAGCTATCAATAAAATTATCAAAATTGTCTGCAATAAAATTATTGAAAATTTTAATTAATTTTTGTTTTTGTTTAATATCTTGAAAATTTTAGGCTTAAAAAAATGAACAATTTTAGTTTGAGAGATTGGGTTGATTTAAATTTTTTTCTGCCGTATTAATATATAGTTCTTAATAAGTATAAATTAGTATATAATAAAATTAAATGGAAATTTATGTTAGTCTAAATGAGACAATTAACAAAATACTAATTTAACTATAAAAATGCCTCCATGTATAAAAACGGGCACAAAAAGAACTTTCTGTGAATAAATCTACCTTTTTTCTCAACAAAGTTGAAATTTTGGCGATCAAAATATGGAGAGTTAGTCGCTATCAAGAAAGATATGATGAAAGTTGCAGCCATGGTGAATTGTTATCAGATTATTATTTTTTTATCTTTGTTTTAAGGGCAAGACTGCTGTTTTACACCTTGTAAACAAGGCAGGCAGTGGTCATTTTCTAAGTATTTGGAGAACGGTTGCTATTATTCGCCAGTTTAAAAAGGGGAAAACCCATACTTGTTGGCAGTTTGTGACTGTATCCCTTATCTGCATTTAAATTCTTAGGCTTCAGTTCTATTTGGGGAAAAATGACCACATTTCAAAGAATAAAGCTGGATTTAGAAGAAATAAAAGTACCACTAAACTGGTTATTCATATCCCTCACAAAGTGTGAGATAGTGTTGGTCTGAAACAAACACTCAGGCTTATTTGTGGATTTTAAATACATTCTTGATAGGGAATGGAGAACCATGTTATTTAAAAAGTTACAAAACCTGGGCGTTAATGGGTCTCTATAACTGGATTCGATCTTTACTCAGACAATGATTTATTAGAGTTGGGGAGGGGATAATGTGAAGCTCCGTTATAAACAAACAAGGCAGGACTCTTAATGTTAAGTTCTTTCTAGTGAAATGTAATGATGTACTTTAGGAGCTTGGTGTTGCGTTGAAGATCTATATTTTGCTAATGCAGATGACCTTGTTATGTGGTCAAATATCAAAAATTGTGAGATATAATTAAATAAAGTGCCGGTCAAGTTTACTGAATTGGATCAGAGGACAGACTTTTATAATTGACAGCATCTCCTTATTTGCTCTAGATAAAAAGATGTTGACACTGGAGATACTTCTCCGGTTAGCATTTCACATTTATGCTAACAGTGTAGGAAGGACCAATTGGCCCGGCTGGACGTTGGATAAAAAAAAACACAGATTTGTTTTGAAATTAAATAGAAATAGATTAAAATACAAATTTATTTACATGCATTTAATTTAATAATTTTTTTTTTTCAATTCAGCCACGTAAGTTCATTCTTTTCAATCATCCTATTCCACATAAAAAAAACTGTTTATTATACAATTATCTGATTTTGACCTTCTGAGTTTTTTTATGAGTTATTGAGATTTAGCATAATATCTAGACATCATTTTAAAGCAAATTACGTTGTGACCCGAAAGTTAAAAAAGATTGCTTGCATGTAAAGTTTTGAAAAGTAAAAAGGGCTTTGGTTTTTGAAATATGCATCTAAGCATGTAATGGAGAGTTCAAGTAAAAATGCATACTCAGTTTAAAAAGAAGTAGCGGACTGCCTATTATGTCTGTTCACCACTTTATAAGGCAAAGTTAAGATTACATTTAAATTTTGTTTTTCTTTTTTTCTATTCAATTACGTTATGATATACTTAATAAAAATGTTTTTACTTAAATATCATGAATCAAAATGGTAAAAAGGTTTGTTTCCTTTAAACTATTTTTTACATCGTATGTTTTTTTTCCAGCTTCAATCAGCTTGATCTTCCTGCTTATGAGACTTACGATAAGCTCCGGTCCATGTTACTGAAAGCCATCCATGAATGTTCAGAAGGATTTGGGTTTGCTTAATTTTTCAGGAAGGGGAAGCTCTTCAAATTAGAAACTTGTGTATTTTTAAGGCATTGAATATCTTAGGTTAAAATGTCACTATAAAAATTTTCAATTCTTAAGTTTTCAAGGCAAATTATCATTTTTAAAACTTTCTTGAAGCCTAATTTGAAATGATAAAAATCTTAACTTCTCTGCTTATTTGTGAAAGATTGGATCTGGTAATTTAATTCCTCCATTTAATATATCAATAAATAAGTAAATTATTTTTTCCAAAGTGCATTTTATACTAGTTACAATGTCATTTTTATACACAAGTCTTTATTCCTTTTGGTGCCTATGTGATATGAGTACTTGCCAATCTGTTGATTATTGTACTCTAAATAGCCACTTAGTACTATCACAATTTATTCGCTGTAATTATACTTATAGAACATTTAAACAATATGAATGGCTGAACTAAATGTACAGATATCTGCTTAAAGTTTCCTATGATAACTAGCATGTAAATTTCAACTTATTTTGAATTTCAGACAAACCAGAAAGTGTTTTATACTTGTAACTATATTTCAAAAGTGAACTTCATTTGTAAAGAAATTTGTGTGGCTTAAGAAAGGAAAGAAATATTTTATTGATAGAAATTTTAATGTCAGTTCTTAAGGGCAGGTTTCTGTTGTATATTTTTAATATGTTAAGCAATGTCATTTTTATATATTTGTAAATTTCTTTTTCAGTGAATTTTTCGGAGAACTAACAGTATTTATGCACACCTAATTTATATCTATATATTAATCCTATCAAATATCTATCTGGAGTTAAAAGTCAAATGACTATATCATATCTTTAACAAAATTATATTTCATGTGCATTGTTAAAAAATACTATAGTTTTAATTTTACATTTGTAACTTCTTTCTTCAGATTTAATTTTGTTTCAGCATAATTTATTTTTTCTTAAAGAAAAATATGATTAATTAAAAGTTGATTGAATATTTTATATTCTTAAAACAAATATTTTCAATTTTAGCAAAAATGTTTTTCCTCTTTCTTTTTTTTTCTTTTTTTTTTTTTTTTTTTTTTTTTTTTTTTGTAATTGATCACATTTATTCAAACCTACTTTATTCATTTTTGAAATATATATTCTCTCTTTAAGTTTAAAGTGATCTAAATATTTTAAATTTTTAGTAAAATATATTTCGTATTTTTTAATTTGTATGGTAATTGGTGATAGCATTTGTGTTCTAAGCTATATGGTTTTAAAATTTTGTAAATGTCTCATGTAATTCACCATACTTATATCAACTAAATTTATTAATCTCTAACAAATGAAAAAAAAATCCTCGAAGTTAAAAACAGAATATTAAATTTTTATAAGATAATTTTCATTTAATGTTTTTAAATTAATATAAGAATTGGTGTTAGTGTTTATAAAAAGAAATCTGGTTTTTAAATTTTTTGTAAATTTCTTGAATTAATTATTTTTTTCTTGTTATTAACTGTATTTATATAAAATCAGGTTATCTGAGTGTTAGTAAAACTAAAAATTTATCCTAAAGTCAAAAACAAATTGAATATTTAATTTGACTTGATTGATTACCTTAAATGTAGTTTTTAATTGTCTTTTCTGTTAAGCAATATCATCAATAAATCTGTTTAAGCAATATGGTTTTTAAATTTTATGTTCCATTTCATTGAATTTTTTTTTTTAGTTAACTATATTATTCTCACCTAATTTATTCATATGTAACTAAAACAACTGAAGATGTCTCTAAAATGATAATTTGTTGATAAGAATATTTGTTAATTAGAACATTTAAAATTTGTAATTTATCTTAGTAAAATATATTTCATTTGATTTTTTTTTATAAATTAGAATGCCTATTATTTATCTTAAAGAAATTTTATATATATATAAATACTTTAAGGTTGTTAGTGTTTATGTCAACCTTATTTATTTCTGTGCACAAAAAATAAAAATCCTTAAAATTATAATTGATTTGAATATAGTGGGACCCCAATTTAAAGAATTCATTGGGGCTGAAACTTTTATTTGTTAAATCGTGTCTATTCATATTATTGGGGGACAAAACATTTCTGCCCTTATTCTAATAGGAAACTACATAAAAATACCCATAATCTTAAATTTTGTACCCATAATTATGTTTGATTCTATTATGCGAAAATTAAAAGTGCAAGGAATAATTATGCTCTAGTTAATTTGAAATTTTAAAATTTTTTATTGAGTAATGTTTAAATTTTCCAAAATTTCTCACTCTAGAAAGTTTTATTTCGATTTGAGAATAACTCTGCTGTAATAGGTATGTTTACGCTTTCCTCATGTGAAAAATCACAAAAAGTAATAGTTTTAATGGTAGTTTTACTATTTTTTTTACATCATTATTGTTTAAATAAATCAACTATTCTATTGACACAAATTGCACAGTTAGAGGCAGTTTGTCATTACTTGTGACACAATTGTTAATTTTAACTGTTTCAGATACGATGAATAATTTAGTCATTTACAGAGCAATCTAATATTTTTCTAACTCAAACTAATAATAAAAAAAAAATTGAAGCTTTTGCAATAATTAAGGTTTAAATAATTTGAATTTAAATAAATCAACTATTCTATTGACACAGATTGCACAGTTAGAGACAGTTTGTCATCACATGTGACACAATTCAAACTAACAATAAAAAAAATTTTTTGAAGCTTTTGCAATAATTAAGGTTTAAATAATTTGAATTTAAATAAATCAACAATTCTATTGACATAAGTTGCACAGTTAGAGACAGTTTGTCATCATATGTGACACAATTGTTAATTTTACCTGTTTCAGATATGATGAATAATTTAGTCATTTGCAGAGCAATCTAATATTTTTCTAACTCAAACTAACAATAAAATAAAAAATTTTGAAGCTTTTGCAATATTTAAGGTTTGTTACTTCATTTATTAAAATGGTTGAAAAAGAAAAATTCATAATTTCGCAAACTTTTGTAAATATGGATTTGTTATTTTAAGACCCGACTGATTTTTGAAGAGCTATATATATTTAACATGATTTTTTAAAATTTCATGAAAAAGAATTTCAACATGAAATTTCAAATCTATTTAAAAAGTAACTGACCAGTTTAAAGTCCAGTTTAATCTTTTTTCCACCTGTCTTTGAAGATTTTTTTTTCTTAAATTAAAAATGCTTTTGTAAGTATAGTTCAGAGTGTTCTGATAATCCTTACCTTTATGGTAAAATGTCAAGTTTTAAAAGTGAACATGCATCATGTATAGACTCATTTTATATTTGAACATAAATATCATTTTTATTTTCAATGTTGCTCATTAGTGTAATAAGTAAATCTATTTTTTTATAATTTATTACTTACAATACAACATTTGTGACTTTTAAACATAAAGGTAAGGAAATTATTATTTTTAGAGTTGCTCTCAATTTCATTACATCTCTGACTATGCTAATGTATATTTGTAAGTATCTTTACGAATGCATATAAATACTTAAAACTTTTTTCTAAAGAAGCAGATGTATAAATCGACATTCAGTACCATTCAAAATTCTATAAATTAAATTTCTTATTTCAATAAATTAGAGCAATAAATTGATTTTGCTCTGTGTAATGATTTGTAGTGTACATAATCTGCTAAGTCTTATTAGTTTCTTATTTTAGTTAAAAATGGTGTGTGCAATGTCTGTTATTGGTAGAATAGTATTTTCCCCCTTTCCTATTATATGTGATGTAATAAAAGATAATACTTATATTTTATGTGAAGTACTTCAATAAAAACTTTTTAGCACTTCACATGCTGAGATTTTCTTGTGCAAGAATATTTTATTTGTGTGTAAAATACTCGTAATAAGTTTTAGGAACTGTAAATAACTATATCTTTTGATAGTTCATAATTTGTTTGTAAAAGCTATAGTAGGTAAACAGTTAAGTTCTTAAGCATGAACATATCTTGTAGTTTAAATTATTTTTTTTTTTATATATATATTTTTCTCCCCTGTGATAGGCATTTTGAAATTTTCTTCATAAATAGTAATGTTTGACATTTTTTCTTTTAAACCACACTTAAATTTAAACCTTGTCTTTGATTTTAGATGCAAATTTGAACGTGGGGATAAATAATTTTTTAATGAAAATTTAGTATTTTATTTTTACCGTAATTAACACTATCAATTTTTCTTGCGAAGTTTAATGTGATATTTTGCATTGTTAGTTTCATATAAACAATTATGTAATTAAGTTAACTTTTATTTCCTCCAGTACTCTTAGCTTTTTGTGTATAATACATCATTGTTTCATTGCTGGAGTTTTTTAAGTTGAGCAAATTATGTTAATTCATTACACTGGCGAAATCAAAAGTGCTCATTTGTCATCTATTACATGTACTGTACTGTATATTACTATATTTCATTTAGTGAACTAAAATGTTATTGTTAAATGTTTCATGTCAAGTCTGCTCGCTTAATAAAAGATTTCCATTTTCAATTGACTGATGAAAGGATTGTGGTGCTGGCATTTAAATGTAAATATTACGTTTCATATGCAATATTTGTTTGGTTGGCTTTGTTTATCCTGCCCGAATTATTGCTTATGTTTAAAATCTCGAAAGAATTCTCAGCATAAAGAAAAATATATATATTGCTTAAATAATTGATACATTTTCCTTTGGTATCATTTTGATGACATAAACAAGTCTTTTCTAGTTGAATTCAAATTGTTAATAAATTTTGTTGTCACATGGGAGTTGTTTTCTATGATTAACATCCATTGAGGTTTTAGTGAGATCATGAAATTGTCTATAGAACGCTCAATGCGTTCATATATACAATAACTTTGTATTGTGCTATAAATTTTATTAAATAAATTATTAAATAAATGTGCTAGTTTGTTTTAAATTGAATCCTTTTTTTAAAATGTGCAATCTGCATTATAATGCTGCTGTTTAGAACATGCTATTTACAAATAAATATGTAAGTCTCAAGTAATGTCTTGAACTTTCAGTTTGAAAAATTCAAGATGAAGTGTGATTATTAAGTATGATATTAAGATGTTTAAAAAAATAGATGAAAATCATAATTGAAATTTATCTTTATAATAGATATTATTAGTCTACAAATAAGTAATATTTTGCAAATCAAACAAGTAAAAAAGTAGTATTCTTTGCATAGGCTTAGGTCCCTGAGGAAGGGAGACTTATTCACCATTAAAATCTCTGTTTTTATTCTTAAACTGTAATTTAATTAATTTTAATTTTTAGAAACTAGTTTTAGTAGTCCTTTTTAGTGAACAAAAAATATACATTTATATATATATGCATAAAGTTTTGCCTAATTTGTTATTAATACAGAGGTGAAAGACAAGATGCTGACAGCCTGTTACGAGAATGGTACAAAATTTTGTAGAAGACGTTTTCAAATTCCCTGACTTTCCTCTATATTGTACAAAATTTTCCCCATGCAGACAGGACCAGAAGTCCAAAAAATAAAATTCATGGAAATTTAATATATATATAATATTCACATGAAAACTTGTCTTTATTCTCCAACTTGCAAAATAAAACAACTAAAATTAACCTTCTAGCATTTTCTTGATAATAGCCTGATAAATAAGGGGAAACGAAATGCTTAGTTAAAAATTCAATGAACTATCAATGATATTACATTAAATATCATTTTAGAACTTGAATAAATTATAGGGGAGAGTCGGGTAGCCCCGCCCACTGTCAAAAGTCAATGAGCCATCGGACATTAATTGTTATATTAAAAAAAGATTATTTTCAAAGTTTCAAGCATTTATGCAGCTGGTAACATGGTAAACAATAGTTTTGAAAATATGTTGAATACAGTAGTCATGAAATTAAGAAAAATTGGTTGAATGTTTCGATTAAACTTCATTTTAATACTAAAAAAATAATTTTTTCTATACATA